GATAACATAATATTGGTATGAATATTGAGGTGTTAAGCTGTCTCTTTGTGTCCATGGAGATGTTTGGATGAAATAGAAGGGGTGCGAGCTGGTAGGTGACAGCGTTGGCTTTTTGAGTTCGAATTTCTATTTCTCTGTCTATGGATCCGTTTTCAGAAAAAGTGCTGCCAAGATATTTAAACTCTTTCACATGTTTCAGTTGTTTACTATTGACATGGATGTTCAGGGGACTGTGGTTTCGGCTCACTTTCATAATTTTTTATGTGCTTATTTTCATGTTGAATTTCTCATATGTGTTGTTGAGTTCGGTAGTGTGATTTTGGAGGCTTTGTTGGTCATGATGAATCAGACATTGGTCGTCTGCGAACAGAAATTCATTTAGGCTTTTTGGGCTTTGGTTTGCTTCTTGCGTTATTGTGTCCATATATATTATAAACAGGAGGGGAGATTGAACGATTCCTGTCGTACTCCGGATCTCCTTGATAAAGCAATGGGGCGAAAAGCGTGCGAGCTCACGAAACTCCCGGGGGGAAAGTCTGCACGTCATCCGACGGTCAAGCGCTGACCTGCTTCCTTATCAGCGCACCTGGTGCGGGTAGTGCAGCTCGTTGTTCCATTGTTAGAGGCCATTAAAAGCTTTAAATCTGTTGGTTTAAAGGTGAAGGCTTGCGTGTGACTAAGGCCCAAACAACCAGACGGTTTCAGAACACTAATCTAAGTCTCACCCCAAAAAACCGTTTTTTTCCATCACGAGGGTGATAAAAATCAGTCCTCTTTAATCCTACACACTTTATTAAGAATTAGAAACAATTTGTTGATCTACCTCCTTTTATGTGGGCCTACTCATCAAGATGATACTGCGAGCTGGGCAGTTATTCAAAATTTGTATGAAAAAGACAGTGCCTTAGGTTTATTCAGGGTGGCACCCAAGTTAACCAGCTGTGTGTCAAGTTTTGGACGACAAAGGGTTTGTTTGGCTGTGCACGTGCTTAGTTGCAGTGTATCAAAAGCAATTAAATTGGGACACTATATATATGTATCTCTGAATTAATCCTTTGCCTGACATCGCTATATCTGATTTCTGTAATGACTTTGATGATCTTTTCAACGTTTTCATTTGGTCACTTGTGTCATTCTCTGTCGAATATCGTAACCCTGTCACAACTACATCACAGCACCTTGAATTTTTGCTGCAGACACTTCTGTGGGTAAAAGATAATTCATGACGTTTGGCCCAGAAGACAAAAAGAAAGTTGCAAAAGCATTACTATGAGTCAGTGAGTCCACAACATCACTGCTTTGCAAGGTCGTGTGGCAGACATTGTGAGCTGCAATGGAGCATTACTTACCTTACAGTGATATCGAGATGAACTTGAACATCTGTTCTCAGTCACCATTAGAGGAAAAGGTGGACATAAGAGATGTTTGAGGACAATTTGAGGACAAGTTCATGAAGATACGTTTTTAAATTTAGCCTCAATTGTGGTGGAAAAATATGAATACGT